TTTGCATGACTTTCCACAAAACATTGATTGATGGTAATGCCCATTAGCATAGAAGCTAATCAGCACTACCATCAATTCACTTTTTTGCACAGAAAAGACAAAGAAAACAAAATATTATATTTGCATTTTTTATGTGAACACAGCCCAAATAAAAGAGTATCTCTTCTTTCCATTTTTTCAACATATTTTGGCAAGAAAAATTGTGAAATGCTTGCAGTGTCAACCAGGAATATTCCATGGCAATAGTGGGGACTACTGAGTTTTGCAACGGTGTACATAAGAAAAAGGCTCTGTCATGATCTCCATAAGCAACCTGTCTCCAGTGGTTGGCATTTTCATGATAAAGTTCCTCAATATATCCGATAATATGCTTGATATACCTAGTGTGTGAATACTCTTCCGTCGTACTCACTTTCTCTAAAGCAATGGTGGTCTCACACTCAACCGCAATAGGGAAAGGTTGGGAAGGTAACACTGGCTTGGTGATAAGTGCATTCTGGTTGATTACAACAGCAGACATCTGGATACCAGAATGTGCATCAGCAAATGGACTTGAGAGGAGATGATGAAGGGACACAACTACAAGAGATCGAACTCAGATAACCAGTTCAGATCCTCATCATCCTCATCAGGAGTCGAAGGGAGTAGCTCTAAGAGGTCATTAGGACGACCTCCGAGCAAATCAGGAGCAACCAGATTTTCTAAAAAAGCACTTGGCCCATGAAAATGTTGGGGCCAATCCACATAATACTGGTGGATGGATATTTCCCTTTGATTAACGGGAAGATCAAGCAAATAAGGAGGTGGAGATAACAGATAGCAAGGAACCAGGTCTAGGTTGGGTTGGAAATCCAAATCCCAAAACTTGTGTGCCTCATAAGAAGGTGGAGATATCCAAGGAGGTTCTAGATCTCTAGCCTCAACAAGGACACCTACATGAATGCGCAACTGACGATAGCACCCCAAGAGAATATGATATTCCTGAGAAGAGGAATAGATGCCATGCCACGTTGGGATGCCTAAAAAAGTTCCCCACATAACAGTGGATAAGACCAATGCAAGATTGAAAGGACCTCCAGCCGCATTAACAACATAAACCGCCTGACACATGCCTAAGATGAACGAAAGCAGCAAGGTGGCCAATGCCCAACCTAGCGCTTCAGGTCTGTTCAATGGCATAGTCAATGACGAACATCTTCCTCAATGATCTATTGTCCGTTAGATGTCTAGCACCCATTCTACTCAGGGCTCATAACCTATTGCGCAGAGGATCTGGGGTTAATTGGGCAAGGTGGCAGAGCACTTGCCTTGTGGATTCAGTTGGTGTTGGTCTTGGGTAGGAATAGAGAGTAGTTCTGAGTGAGAATGATGTAGAGAGAGAGAATGAGCTTTGTTACTATCCTGTGGTGTATCCTACAGGGTATATATACATCTATGGTGTGCATGGACCAGGTGTGCTAGCACCTATGATAAGAACTACTATATTTGTAAGTAAGAGGACCTTCCATATAGGTACTACTCTGTCTTTCTACTAGGAACATATAATCCAGTAATCCAGTAGAAGAGAACACTGTAGAATAGTATGGAACAACTATTCTTAGAATAACAATCACATGTAAGTGATAGTAACCAGTAAATGTTTTCAACAGAATGTTTAAACACCATCCTTTTTTCACTGAAGGGGAGAGACTAGCCAGGAGGGTAAGAATAGGCGCCAGGATTATTATGTGGCAAACATTCACAATGCGATCTTTTCTTAACTTCAGGTCGATGCTGACAATGTCATGGACTCGTGGCTTCCCACCTCGCGCTGGAGGTGCAGTGATTGCCACTAGCGTCATTTTACTTCGGTGACAATAGTAGCCTGCAAGGGAAGCTCAGCTAACTACTCAACTGAACGCGAGATACTCGCCAACGGCGTAAGGCGCAAGGCCATGGGTCCATGTGAAGTTGTTGTTCAGATCTTCCTTGGGATCTTGTGGGTCGTCCGATCTTCTTTCTTGACCCCAAAATTGGCATGAGCCATTCACCATGAAGCGAAAGTCGGAGCCACTCTTTTGCATCTGTATGACGCTTGCCATCAGAGAAACTTCGGCCGTTCGGCATCGCAAGCTCGAGGAGTCTACGGATATTGAAGTACCAAAATGAAATGAAATCTGCCTTTGTACCACCCCCAGGTGCATGGATTGCAACTGCATCCAGGATGGCGAACAAGCTTCGGCCTGGTTCCCCCACCCTGAACAAGCTGCCAACATCGCCTGCATCGCACCGGTTGGGGCCACTACTATAAAGGAGTTCTGCAAACGTGAACTCTCTAATAGGGATCTTCTCAGAACTGGCAAGAGGCCTTTCGAGTAGGCTACGAAGCTCTTCGATTGTGGTAACATGAGTGCTACGCCGATTGTTCATCCAGGTGTCAACAAGCGTGGTGGCATCAACTAGATAACACCCTGAAAATCCACATTTTAGGGGTAGAACAAACATCAACTTACCTCCGGATTGCCTCGTGGGTGGAGATACATCGCACGCGACAATGATTTTTACGTCTGCACCGAATTGCCAAATGTCTTGATGGGGAAAAAGACGGGCAACCTTGGTTGCCATAAACTGCTCGTCTACGGTCCCAAGCTCATTTGCAATATCGTCAAGTGACCGGTCACTAAAGTCACCAACAGGTTCGAGTAGCTGAATAAATATGAGTGGCGGGAGGTATCTTAAAAGGAAAATACGCATGCCAAAAAGACCCTGGCTGTAACTTCTTGGTCTGAGTCCAAGCTCATGAAATCACGGACTACCGCAGCAGCATGATCTGTTAAGGCTCCAACAAGTAAAGTTTCGACCTTGTCGGGGCTTGGAAGGTCAGGGGCTGTTCTGAGGCCACATATCGCATACAATTTGATTGTGAATTGTTGAACTAGCAGGTATGTAAGCTGCCGCATCGGTGGAGGTGGTTTAGGTGCAAGTGGTAGGTGTCACAAACTCGAATCTGAGGGGCGGATGGTAAGCAATAGAATTTACGCTTATTTGTGTAAATAGGGACACTCGCGACAGTGGTGTATTCCGAGTGTTCATACGTCTAAGGACCGAGTGTGAGTCAAACTATGTGCTGGCTTGGTCGGTAAGTCAATCTCTTTATTCTGTTCGTCATATCATGGGCCAGTGGTGGAAGCCGCCCTCGCCGAACCTGAAGAAGCTAATATTTCCTGAATCAACGGCGGCGATGACGACCGATTTCTTCCCAGCTTTGAGGTGCGCAAACGGATTTGGTTTAGGAGTCACCGTGTTATGAGATGCACCGAACGGCGTAGCCGGTGCCGCGTGGGACTTGAATCGAAGATAGGAGATTAGGCGCTGAATCAATGTCTGTGGTGGTATGGAGAGTCTTGGCGGTCCGGGCGATGTGCTGGTTACTACAGTGTCATTCGCCTTTTGGACAACGGTCTGAATTCTCCGCTTCCGCGGTGGTGGAAGCGGCATCTCTGGGAGACCCTCAAAAAGGGCCGTAAGTTCATACAAGCTGGGTGTAGCGGTCGTACGTGCACTATCTCAACGGGGTCCGATCAGCGGTGAGCATACCAATAGAAAAACGGATGACAGACTTTACAATTACCAAGTAGAAATCTGGTGGGGGAGGGACAGTCTTGCGGAATGGTGTAGAAGGTTTATACACGTGAAAGAAGACGCTGTAAGGGGAGGCCGAAGATGCGACCGTCGAATGAGTTGGTGATATTGTTGTGGCTCCTTCATCTGGACTCCTGTAGCTGTACAAGGTGGAGCTGTGACAGCACCGAAGAATGCGTAGGGCCTCGAACATGTCACCTACGATGATAGTCAAATGATAGATCATTGGTGTAGAATAGCAGTAGCGAACCACTCGACTTAGCGTCACGCAGCCTAAAGGGTCTCCATGGATTTGCGGGGAATAGGGAATCAACGACACTCAAAACCTTCAGAACGAAGAGTGAGAATGATGTGGCGATCCTTTGCCATACGTTCGGAGCCCGTGCTGTAGGAAGACGTGGGGAATGTGACGGTGCAACAGGACAGTCCGAGGTATGGAGTTTCGCACGCCTGAGAACAAAACCGAGACGCCTCAGGTAGGCGTACACCTGGCGGGATCAGTGCGCAATCGGCAAACACGACTTCAGGATCTCTGCGAGAATGCCAATAATGCTACATACCTGATAACGTTCCAGTGACATGTCTTCACGGCCAATCATTTCAGCGTACGCTTGCTGAACCGTCATTGGCGCGCCCGGGCTTCTCTCCTCGACGTTTGCTAGATTTAGCTGAGATGAATTGCTCGGTATGCTCTTGTAGCAGAACAATGCCCCGCGCTCGATCAGGTAAATGGCTTCTTCTGGGAGAAGTTCGAGGCGTGTTTCAGTCCTGTGATTCTTCCCCAACTCGGGATCCATGTTCCCAGCAGTTCCGGATGCACGAGAAACCGACTGTCCCATACTCGCAAAGTGCACGCCGCGTGATGTCACGACGTGTACTCGCGCGACGGAGGGATACCAGATACCGTAACTTGCGGATTTGCTGCAAGGGCCGCAACAGGACACTGTCTTGGTTATTGACTCATACAGAAAGAGTGAGAGCTCACCTCGAAATCCCTCGTTCCGCCCGAAGAGCTTCGAACATGGCACCGCGCGCCCGGTCGAGGACGTGCAACTGCAAGTCAGAGCCGCGTCCATGTACTGGTTCAAAATCCTTTTCGCCTCTCTTTGGAATGACTGGGCGTGTCGAGACGTGTTTGCTGTACAGATCGCTTTGAAACACGCGAGATTTTGAAATCGCTGAACTCACGCAAGTTTTGTCCAGTCCAATGCGCCGTCCTCGTCGCCCGACGACTGTTCTTCATCTGCGGATGACTTGGAATGTAACTGAGGTTGTTCGAGTACGTCGTCCATTCGGTTTGGAGGAGGCACTGCACGCCGTCTACAATGTTACACAGTGCCGGTGGTGTCGAACAAAGGATAAAGTAGATCGAAATGCGAGGGTGCGTAGCGCAGTGGTAGCGCGTATGCTTTGCATTTAAGCAATTGAAAGTTGTATAAGGTCCAGGGTTCAATCCCCTGCGCATCCATCCCTTTTTCTTATTACTTACTTCCGACAAGTATCCACTTCATCCCATCGATCTTGTCACTGCAACGCCAATGCTCGTCAGTAACCTAAGCAATTTTTTCTTCTCCTTTCGTCGCCGTTGATTTGCTCTGCAGGCCAACGTACCGGTCATCTGTACTCTCTCGTCACCGCGGACGTTACAGCATGGTACCCGCGTATCCTGAACCCTGCTCGTGCGGTCGTGTTCTTGACTTTAGAGCGGACGAACATGGTCTCAAAGTCCAGCAGACTGTTCTGGCCAAGAATATAGACCTACTCGACTGATTTAACACCATTTCCCGGTACGGCTCTCACCCGTACGACTCAGGAATCCCATAAACTTCACTGTCCGGGGACTCCGGCGTACGCTCTCATTCTGCGCCCTGTCTAACGTGCGCGCAGGGTTCACTCGTCGCTCGAGGCCTCATATACAGAGACCTGTAAAGGGATCATTCCACGACCGATGAATGCTTCCATCCTTCTTTTGGTATCTCTCCTCACCCTAATCCTGCCGAACACCATGAGCGCAACGGAAATAGGTTTGGTCGTCGAGCGGTCCCGCGAGGTCAACTACAAGCTCTGCATGTCCTCGTTCCGCGATGCATTGCTCACCCACTACAGCCGCGCAGCTGCTCTAAACGCGCAAGCGAAGGATGAGTTAACCATGCGCGACGTACACCCTGACAGACATAAGCTTCACATCATTTGCGATTTGGAAAATGGAACCCTTCGGAGATTGTCGGTGTCTCGGCCGTGCTAGAGGATCGCACAGGGTATTAGCGTTCCAGACGATCCGACGCAGACGGTGTGTGTGTGGTTTGACGCGTTGTTGGTACACCTCCGTGGCATCGGACTCCCAGAGACAGAATGCATGGCCCCTAGGCGTGTAAGTGATCGGAAAAGACATTCTCCGGTCTGTGTCCATTTCATTGTCTCCTTAATACTCGTTCGGCTTAAGCGTGTATACTTCGCAAGGATCCACGCTATCTACCTTCCCGCTATCCTCCCGGTGCTGAAGCTCCCCTTACTGACAGCACTCCTCGCACATGCACACCGGACGATGTCCAAATCTTTCGGGAACGTGACGGGTCACATGCAAGCCACGGATGATTGTGGTGTAGATGTTGTGCGTCCCTACTTCGCTTGCGGTTAGAGATGACGTCGGTGTCATTTTTCTGTTAGTATAGGGGCCGATGTGTAGGCTATTGAAGACTGGTCTAAAGGACAACTTCGCAAGCATACGGACCAAATTCGGAATTTGTTGAGAGATTACTTTCTACGGATGACGTCTAGGATTACCAAGAAATGTTAGAGATGTTATCTCTGTTGTCCAAGACAAGTCCTTCCACGGACTATTATCACAGCAGCTCGCAACGGTTGATCTATCCAAAATCCTTGATATTTCGGCACATGGCGGAGCTGGACGTGCCTAGCAGAGTTGAGGCCTTCCTTCTACTTGACGATCTCGGTATGGTCGTATCGAATTGCGTGAAGAGTCTGGAAATGTCAGAAAGCCTGCATGCAATAGCACAAGTTCTTCGATACTGAGGCTCTTCCCTCTCGTTCACCTTATATCATATTTAGACTTTCCTGGAAACCGGGCGAATACCTTCCTTACAAGCTTCCTCTTGCCCTAGTCCGAGGTTGAAATCTACAACGATCGTTCGTTCCTTGTTCCTCACTGCCCTCGAAACCCTCCGTATCGTTGGAATTCTACTTCAGTCATTCTCCCCGTACGACCGCGAAGCTTCTCTGTGCACTGGGTGTCTCTGAGCTGGAGAGGAACGTGGCGTATGCGCGCATCGGAGAGGTTCCGTAGGTGGAGAGGATGGTTTGAGTGCGAGGGTTAAGAAGTTGTTTAGTATGCCTGCTCATTTGTTATGCCATCACTCTGATGCGAGGGATTGGCCGACCTTGCCATGATGCACAACGCATCGCACCGGCCCTTATGTTGCGACATGAGAGATCCTGCCACGGACAGGCCTGTCCGTATGTTATGACTGCATTTGTTGTTCCACAATTATCAGGCCTGCTCATGTGTCATGGCATTATTGATTTACCATAGCCAAAGCCACCCGTACGTTACACTTAATCATTGCATCCTTTCATGGCCAGCTTGTTCATATATTGTGTTTTCCTTCCCCTCATTGGCCCATTGGCCGTTTACTAGAGCCAGTGAGCCCGCGATCCTGCATGAAGTAAACCTTGGCCTTTGTAACGATGTGGTCGGTCTGTGGCCCTTGCTCCCTTCTTTCCACTCGTCCGTTCACACACTCAGTTAGCCTCCGCGTCGTGCCGTTCAGTTTCGTGCTCACTTTCCTCTCTCTGTTCCGAAGATTTTTCGTGATCTCGGTCTCTACCTTCCATCCTGAGAGATCACGTGATCCATTCAGCTGAGCGCTTCTCCTTCTTCGGCCTCTCGCTTTGGTCCACCCTTTTCTCTTAAGACGAAGCTAACGACGCGTGGCTTTCCCCCACACACTGATAGATCATCCTTTGATCTAGCTGTGCGCCTCTTCATTGATCGATTCATCATCGTTACACTATCGAATATCTTTTCAGTCTCCTCTTTAGATTTCAGCTATCGCTGTATCTCTCACGGTAGTTACAAAGGCCATGTGTTGTGACTAAGTGGACTACATGGGGGTCGTTGCATTCGGAGTTGATGCATTGATGTCTGCCGCTGGATCCAGCTCACCTACCCACCTTGGTATGTATATACATACTTGAATGGTTCAACCCAGATTCACTATGGTACAGGGCTCTCACCGTCAAACTGCATTTCGAGCCATCCTGTTCACGCACCGTGCTTCGCAGCTGTTTTCGGTACATGGTATTCATCGTATCCGCTCTTCCTGGAAATCATCCTGTATTGTGGTATAGTGTGTGATGCCGGATTCCGATTCCGATGCCACAAGAGCACTCTAATCGCGAACCGTGTGACGACATTGCAATGCCGTGTTTAGCCTCAACATCAACATTGTTTACCTGATTTCCCAATGTAAGGGATGGAGATGTATAAAATAGCAACGGAGATGGGCTAACGGGGCAAAGCGACGCTTCCTCCCCCGAGACGTTTATACTGTAACCCAGGTTGCTATCAGCACTGCTTTCATCTGCGGCTGCTGCCCTAATCCACAAAACTCTCTGGGCTTGAACAAGCAATTCGATCGTATCAGTCACAAAGGGTACGAACCACCCAAGTCCTAGGTGATATCGAATCCCGTTCCTTGGGATCAGTCGTCATTCATACCTGTTGGACGTCCCGATACCCTGTCTGTCGAACAATTTACCACACTCGGTCATCCGGCCTTCCCAGCCTACAGTGTGAGGATCAAGCGAGCAGATCCCACAGCATTCACTTGCGACCCCACGGTCAAGTAAGTGATGAAAAAAAAGTGGATGTTTCACTTCTCATCACCCTGGACTTGAACTGCAACTTTGCAGGACCTACACAGGATACATACATAGATATTACTGGGGCCAGGCACCTGTTCTTTTACTTGTTTGAGAACAGAAATGATCCGGCGAAGGACGACGTCACCTTTTCGACTAACGGAGGTGGGGTTAAGAGTTGCACACCACCCAACTATCCCCTCATGCCTCCGCAGGACCCGGTTGTTCATCTAGCCTTGGTCTCTTCATGGAACTGGGTCCTTGTAGAGTCCTCAGCGACGGTGGCCCCCTGTTCAGTCCGTTCTCAAGGAACTCCAATGCAAGTGTATTCTTTGTTGACCAACCTATCGGTGTTGGCTTTTCCTATGCCGACTACGATGAGATCGTGGTAAGCGAAAATCACTTGCACTAGAAGACGCGTTTGTCGAGCCACGTTCACAGTACCACCGAAGAGGCAGCAAAAGACATAGCCGCGTTCGTTGCCGTATTCTTCCAGAATTTCCCAGAATTCCAAAACCGCGGCTTTCACATGGCTGGAGTCTTATGGGGTATGTCCAAAATAATATTGCCTCGAAATGATTGAACTGCTTTGGCAACCAGGGACGCTACCTCCCTGTTTTTGCCTCCGAAGTCTATGACCAAAATGCCAGACTGGTCGAGGTAGGCATTACCCCTGTCAATTTGACATCTATTGTGATAGGTCAGCAGATTTGAATGGGTTTCAGTGGAGAACAAGCGCCAACATTGAATTCGTCGAACCACCGCATGCAATGGTTTGACCGATTGGTACCGTATGGTTCCCACGTATATCGACATGGTCTGCACAAGTGCTTCCGTTCCTCTTACTGCTTCGATCAGGTGAGATTCACTCACTTGCGCTTCCTCGGGTAATTTGCTTATTGGCAACAAGCTCTTGCGTTGCCACGAAAGAAGTTGTAAGGTTGCACCACACGATGGAGTGCATTTATCATAACTATCTTGTGCCAGGTCTCCAGATGTCAGAGGTAGACCAAAGTAGCATGTATCGACAGCTTCGATGCTCTTGGCTGAGGAGCCACTACTGAATTCTGTAGCGACTAACTTACGGAGCCTTTCGCTGCAACAGGTTGTACTGCGGAAGTTGTTAAGGATGGAATCACTTACATTTTTTTCCCGGTCAGGCATGAATCCGTACTGTATTAGTAAAAAATGCGAGGATAAACCCGAGGACCTGTGTTATCCAGTCACCAGATACGCGGTCTGCTTGTCCGACCAAGCATTTTGATTGAGGTGTCCGCTGTCATCAGGTACATCAAGGAATACCTCGATAATCCGGAAATCCGTGCGGCCATTAACGTCAGTTCATCCATCGGCAAGTTTAACTGCTGCAGCGATGATGTTTCTGCTGCATTCACGTCAATGATGGATGAAAACCACCCGAGTGACTCCTACGTTGCTGAGTTGCTCGAACGCGAGGTTCGAGTGCTCGTCTATGTCGGAACATGTGATTGGATTTGCAACTGAATTAGTAACGAGAGGTGGACACTAGCGTTGCGTTGGTCGGGACAAGAATAATTCGCCAACCAACCCCTGATAAAATGGTACGTC